GTGTGTGTGTGTGTGTGTGTGCACCTAGCAGGATGAACAATAGCACTTCCTCTTCCAAAACTGATGGAAAGGAAGATGGGGAAGAGCCAGCTGTGTGACTAAAGCTAGGTGTTGGGGTCTAGCTTGGACTAGACTCATGAAAGAATTCATACTTGACTGTCTTGGTAACTATGTGGGAGAATTGTCCTGAACTAAGAACAAATTTTTCTCCTTCTAAACTCATGTATCAATTATGGCAGCTTATGATATAACTAGAATGGATGTGTCCTCATCAGTTTTCCCCATGTTCTGATTCTCTGCTCTCTCCTCAACAAGGCAGGAGATTCTACACCTGACCTTGAGCCTGCATCCAAACCATCTGAATGGTTTGGGCCAGAGAACTCATATGTCCAACGGGAGTCCAGGGGCCCACACTCAGAACTGCTGCTGAGACTCTCACCTCCTATTGAAAGGAGGATAGTATTTCTTAGTTCTCAGCAGTGCTCTTTCTTTCTCCCTCCCTCCCTCCCTCCCCCTCCTTCGCCCATCCCCCTCCCTCTCACTCCCTCCCTCTCTTTTTTCTCTCTTTCTCTCTCTCCCTCTCTCTTCTTCCCTCCCCCTCCCCCTCTCTCTCTTTCTCTTCCTCCCTCCCTCCTCTATTCCTCCCTCCCCCTCCCCCTCCCTGTCCCTCTCCCTCTCTCTCTCCATAGCTTTTCAGGAGAACAGGAAGCCCATTCTCCTTACTGTAAGAGTGGTAAGTAGTCAGAAAGGGCTGGGAGAGCTCTAATGGCCAGAGAGCATGCCTGGAATGCACACAGCCCCCGGGCTAGTCCCCAGCACCACAATCTCCCAAGCACTACTGGGTGTCACCACGGGGGTCAGCCCCCTCCACAACATAAGCAGTCATGGAATCTCTCAGCCCCCTCCACAACATAAGCAGTCATGGAATCTCCCATGGAAAGCGCTGGGTGCCCACCAATCCCTCAGGGTGCTAGCACCAGATGATGCCACTCTCATTCAGAGAGACCAAGACAAGGACAAAGCCCCTCGCTGTGGCATCTCAACACAGAGCGTGAGCCTTGGCCAGGCCTCAACAGTCACCCAGTAGCCCACAACCCTGGCCAACCTGAGCGCCAGTGGCCTCTTCCCCCACCGCAGTTACAGCCTGGCCCTGCTTCTGGGTGAGACACCACCCAGTCCTCAGTACCCCTGTTGCTCCCACCACCCCCTGCCTGTGTGTGGCCTTCCTCACAGACCACCCAGGGTGCCCACTCCCCTCTCTAGCCAGGGTCGGGGTGGTTAGAGGAAACGGACAAACCCAACACCATCTCCTCAGAGATACCTTTGTTAACCCCTATGCAGCCCTTGTGAGACGCCCCCATTTCTTTCTTTTGTAGTTTAGGGGTTCTTTGTCAGGGGTAGGAGGGAGCACACCCAGCGATGCTCAGGGCTTACTCCTGGCTCTGCACTCAGGAATTACTCCTGGCAGGCTCAGGGGACCAAGTGGGATGCTGGGAATAGAACCCCAGGTCAGCCGTGGGCAGGCAAACACTCTCTTCCCGCTCCCTCTTTCTTATCTTCGCATAATCACTCACTGTTGGGAGTGGCCAAGACTATGGGGAAGCCTAAGCCACGGGCTCTGTGTGGTGAGCACCTGTTCTGAGAATAACACAGGGCAGAAATGGAGGCCTGTAAACACTGGGTGAATGCAAGACTGAACACTGACCACCTCCTGTGCACATCACACATGGATACAGTGTCAGCAAAGCATGAAGAGCTGAAGTGGTCAGAGAAAAATCAAGGTCTGGGTACCAGCTGGTACAGTAAGGAGCAGCTTCACCAGGGTGCTGGACCCACAAGGGGAAAGTAAAGGTCAAGGGTAAGAAAGAAAAAGCCTCTGCCCCCCTCTCTAAGTCAAGCCCATACATGGAAGCCAACACGTTCTACTTGCTTTAATTTAGCAGAAAGCAGTCTACTGACTATGCCATGCATTGCTAAAAACAGTGCAAACATTGCTTGTTTTCCTCTAGAATTCTTGAAACGAAAATTAGTTCTCTGGGCTGGCAGATCCTTCCCTATTCAGATTTGGGTCGCTGTCTTTGCGTTATGGTAATGATGAGAGGCTCTCCCTGAATTTGCATGCCCACCCCCAAGCTCAAGGCACACTCTGAGTGTGCCCTTGGAAGAGGCCATCTCACCCCGAATCATCTCAATGTGAGGGATCAGATGCTTTTCGGTTGTTTTTCAGATCAAAGATTACATATCTTGGAGACACGGTAGGTTGGATTCCAGACCCCCACAATAAAGTGAACGTCACAACAAAGCAAGTCGCATGGATTTTTTGGCTTCCCAGCGCATATAAAATTATGTTTACGCTATACTACAGTCTACAGTGCGCACGGCATTATGTCTAGAAAGTGCCCAAACCTTGATTGAAAACATTTTAGGGGACAGAGAGATAGTTGGAGGGAATAAGGCATTTGCCTTGCATGTGGCTGAACCCAGTTTGATACCCAGCACCACATAGGGTCCCCCAGTACCACCAGGAGTGACCCCCTGAGGACAGTGCCAGGAGTAAACCTTGAGCACAGCTGCGTGTGACCCACCCACCCCCACCCACACAAAAAGCAACGTCACTGGTAAGTCTGAACAAGGAAGTAAGTATATGTGGTTGGAAATATGGCGCCACAGACTGGCTTGAGGCAGGGCTGCCACGGGCCTTCCCATTGGAGAAAGCAACATCCGAAGTGCAATCATGCAACATGCAATAAAATGAACTATATCTGTGTATGATACAGCTTTATTGTGCTATCCATCAACAGAAAAAAATCATTATGCGGCCAGTTAAGAATGAAGGTGTATCAAATTTATAAACTGGACATATCTGCCAACCAAAGAGACTCAACGGATGGAGGAAGGGAGTGTCCCCCTGTTTACACACACCCCACCTCAGAGACACAGCACTGGTGGGCTACTCCATCAGCACACATACGGAACAAACTGTGAAATAGCTGTTCATCACAAATATCTGAACACAGCAGGTGATCCTTAGCCACAAGCTACTATAAGCATCTTAAATCCTACTAGAAACATTTCAACAAATGTAATGACAGCCTTCGTTTTCATCATACTGCCACCAAGCACTAACACTGGAAGTAAAGAAACAATCACGTTCCCCTCCCCCTGGTCTGTAACGGTTACAGGGGCTACCATTAAGTTTCCAAGGACTCTAGACAGCTGAAACAACTGGAGTTTCTTAGCAGGTTCTACATAGTGAAAACCGTTCAGACTTGAATGACAAATAGGTCGGTCTCCTTTTCAGCAGGACTTAGTCCTCTTCCCACTGAATTCTAAGGAGCACAGTGCAGTCACTGGAAAAGACATTTGCATCTAACCGGTGTCTGTGCGCAAATCCTCCTGGTGACAGGCAAATGAAAGGTGGTCATGAGAGCATTTTTTTTACTGTCAGGTGAAATTAACAGTTGCAACAGGGTGGGGGAGATGATGCTTAAAGTATATACTTTAGTTCATTAAATCATTGTAGTGGGGTCCAAAACAAGAGACCAGGATAGTATTGTGTCTTGGCTAGAGGAAGAGGGTTTTGTATCCCTCATCCACTCATCCATTCATTCATTCATTCCATAAATATTTATTCAGGCCTGCTCTGTGCCAGGCACCAAAGAAAACAGTGTTCAGCAAACTGGTGAAACCTAGCGCTGTGCTTGTGGCCAGGGAGCTTTCAGGAGGACAAACAAATGTGAAACTCACCTCAGTGTGTAATACAGCGCTAGAGGAGCAAGGGTAAGGGAGCTCATTGAGACCAGAGGCTGTGCCCAGATCACAGAAAGGCACTGGAGGGGGGAGGGGGCGGGGGGCGGGGAGTCAAGCGGAGACACCATCAGATCACGACCAAAACAAGAAAGGAAATCCGTTCTGGGCAAATGACCACAAACAGGATTTTAACTTTGCCTGTCAACAACCGACTGGGTTACAGAGCCCCCTTCTCCCCAGAACCTGGCTTAGCGATCCTGCCTCACTGAGCCAACGCCTATTACCTGAGCGCAGAAAGGGCTCACTTCATCGTTGACTATAATTACCCACAGCCCTCCTATGCCTGGCCTAGAAACACCCGAAAATCATCTGCCAAAGGCATGAGAAACACAGTGGCTGCTTGCGAGAATATCACCGAGGTGGTTCGACCGTTTCAACCACAAGTCCTATGCCCAGCGCAGTGCCAGGACCCCTGGCAGCGAGGCGGCTGGAGCCGGGGGTCCGGTGGTTAGTGCACTGCCGCTTGGTGGGTGACAAGGGCTGGCTCACCCTTCCAGAGCCCGAGCGAGCAGAGGCTGCAGACTTCGAGGATGTGGGAAGTGGCCTTTGAGCATCACGGAGTGGGGAGCTCGCCCGGCTGCAGGAACCCAAGAGTGGGCAAGGAGGCGGTCAGGGCCCGGAGAAAGGGGGCGCGAACTGAGCGCCAGGCCGGGTACTAGGGCGTTTCCCGCCCGCCTCCCACACAGCGGCCCCCAGTGAAGGCATCCCGCGCCCACGGCGCGGCTCCAAGCCCCCGGGGGAGCGCCTCTGGTTCTCCCCGCGGCGGGGCCAGGTGGGCACCGCGAGCCCCGCTCCGCGCCCGAGCTCAGCAGCGCCCGGTACCCACGTCCACAGCGCCGAGGAGGGCGCGCTGGGGCAAGAAAATGGCCAAGCCAAAAGTCTCCCCGCCCACCCGAAAAGGCAACCACACCCCCCCAATCCCTCGGCCCCAGCCTCTCCGGGCCGGCCCCCCGCGATCCCCAGCGCAGGCCCCCAGCGGGGTGCCCGTCTGCGCGTCGCGGGGGCTCGGCCGAGACGCGGGAGCCGGTGGGAGGGGATAGGGAGGGTGCGCGCGGCAGGCAGGGCGCCCACCGCGATGTCACCCTCCGGGCGCTGTCCCCGGGTCACCCGCCCCGAGCCCACGGTCCTGGGACAGGAGCGCCGCTGCCCAGCCCGGGCGGCTGCCGGGGCGCCGGCGTCTCCCCACTCACCCATTGGCGTCGAACCGGGCCGGGCCGCCGAGGCAGCGTGAAAGTTGGCGGAGGCGGGCGCGGGGGTCGGGGCGCGGGGATCGGGGCGCGGGGGACGGGACGCGGCGGCGATGGGGCCGGCTTCCTCCTCAGTAGCGGCAGCGGCTCAGCGCCGCCCGCTGTTGCCTAGGCTGCTGCTGCTGCTGCTGCTGCCGCTGCTGCATCGCGGCCCTCTGCGCCCGGTGCGCCGGGTTTCCTGCTCCCTGCGAGTGGAAATTGCGAAAAAAAAAAAAAAAAAAACCAGCGCCGCCCAGCGCAGCGCCCGGCAGCCGCGGCCCGAGCCCGCTCCTCTCCCCTCCTCCCAGCCGCCGCGAGGCTCCTGCGGCTCCGCCTGCCCGGGACGCTCGGGCGCGCGGCGGGGGCGGGGCAGGCGCGCGGAGGGGGCGGGGCCGGAGAGGGCGGGGGCGGGGCAGGCGCGCGGAGGGGGCGGGGAGAGGGCGGGGCCTGCCCGGGGGGCGTCCCAGTGGCTGCGGCGCTCCCGCGCCCCGCTCCCCGACGCCCGCCGGGGTGGGACCCAGCTCCGAGAGGCCGCCCCCCCCCCACTCACCGCGGCTCGGCTGACGCCCCAGGAAATGCCGCGAGACTCCTCGAGAGCGGAGGCGAGGAAGGGGGTCGGCGCGGAGAAGGGGCGTCCGGGGTGGTGGTGGTGGTGGTGGGAGGGGGTGGAGACACGTGGGAACCGAGGCGGCGGGGGCGAGGCTGGGACCGGGCTGCGGGAAGGGGATGCTGGGCAGGTGCGGGCCGGACAGGTAGCCCCGAGGGGACGGCGCCAGGTCACCCGGAATAAAGCCACGGGGCGGAGGCCGTGAGTGGGAGGGAAGTGCCGGTCCCCGAGGGCCAGCCAGGTACAGGTCGCCAACAGCAGGTGGTGGAATGGAGACGTGGAAAGACCGAGAAGAGTGAGCGGTCCCCCAACCCCGCAGAAACCTTCGCGGGAACCCGGTGTCTGCGCTAGGTGCTGCTGCCACGTTCCCAGGCCATTGCAAGAATCTCCCGGTGGAAGGACGGGCTCCCTAATAGGCGTCATTGTGCCCATTGACACCCCCGCCCCAGGCCCCAGCAGCCGACCCTGCAGTGGGCATTGAGATGCAAATTCCAGGGGGCGCGCGGGAATCCCTGGGGCGCTAACTCCGGAGTCTCTTTGCCGCGGTCTATCCACCACACCTTTCGCCATAGAGACTTTACCAGCCACCGCATTCTTCTACCGGCCGGTATTTGCTTTTCCCTTTCCACCATCTGGTGGTAGGAAGAGATAGTGAAGAGAGGGGACATTCCAAAAGAAAGAAAGTAAGACAATAACGAAATTAAATCATTGGTCTCTGAAAAATGGAGGCGCCCGAGGTGAGCGGACACCGCGGTGACAAAAGCCGAGCGCCCCTTCAATATCGGGCGATCTCCCTACCCCGCCTACGATAGGGGGGGGGGGCAACTCCGGAAAACTGCTTACGTCCCCGTCCCCGGGATACCTGCAGAAAGGTGCCCTTATCATTGTCTCCTTAGCTTAAAATAATCCTTCCCACCCAGGGTCTTGAGAACAAAAGCTCGACAGCAGCATCTTGCAGAGTGCTTTCTACCGCGGTCTGTCCCAGCATTGTAAGCAGGACACTAATAAAGATCAAGATCCTCAGCTGCTGGGCAGAGAGATAGTGCATTGGGTAAGGCGCTTGCCTCGCATGCAGCCGACCTCCGTTTGATCCCTGGGTCCCACATGATCCCTGAGCACTGCCAGGTGTGACCCCAAAAATAAACAAAAAAAGCCCTTTAGTTGCTGAATTCAGAGTCTGTTGATCCCCCGCACTGCATAGAGATCAGTGATTCCTGAGCACTTCTAGATTAGACACAAAAATCTGAAATAGGGGGATATCAGAAGTAGGGGGCCGGGAGATAGCTCAAAGGGTTCAAGCACCAACCTTGCATGCACTAGGTCCCGTGGCCTCGTGTTCCTTCCATTTGCCACCACATGTCCCCCCAGCACCAGCAGGTGTGGCCCTGGGGCCTCCAACACCACTGGATCTGAGCAGAACTGCTCCCGCGGGGCGAGCACTCAACAGTCAGACCTGACCAGCCAGGTGGACTATCACTGGAGTGACCCCTGTGCCCTTGAGCACTGCTCGGGAGCACAGTCACTGTACATTATAATCTGAAGTGTGGAAGTGTGGGTGAGTGCTTGATTACACCTGCTCTAGGCAATGGGGCACCTGTGTACATGTCTCATCAGACCAGGGGAATGGGGCTTTGAGATATGGGCCACGTTCAGCCTAAGTCCCATGGTTAAAGGGACTTGATTTTTCTTGAACCCCGGCGAGAAAACCTGTCCCTGAGGTCTGTCCTACTGTCGAGGTGGTTCACTTTGCCAAGGCCAGCGTTCAGGGGGCCACGATTTCCTTCACTCTGGGAGTCTCTGGCTCCTGCAAGTTTCCACGTGGATGTAGATGAACTGGACTTGAAGTGGTCCATATCTCACTGCTGAGGGTTCTTGGGGGCCTTCTCCATGCAGTATCAGATCAGGGGTTGACAACCGTGGGTGTCAGCAGTGACCCACATTCCATGGGCAAGGCAGAGGCCAGGACATGGAGACCAGCAAAGGGCTGGCTGAACTCTACAGGGCCCAGGGCCATGCAATCAGGAGCCTGTGTGATGGATGCCCTGCTTAATCTTGCCCATCTCTCTGTCTCACAGAGAAAAGGATGCCTTGTTCACGGATGCATTTATCACAAAAGCAGGCTGATGGCAAGACTTGACACTTGACAGTACTGCAGCTGTGCCCTCATCTTAATGCCACAAGTGCCCTTAAGTTATATCAATTCTGCTCGAAACACAATGTATTTTTTCACTTTAACTTTCTCTAAATTATTAAAATGGATCCTCCCCCAACCACCCTCCATGGCTCAGTTCCTCTGAATTGTTCCTATTGTCCTTTTAGTTTGCCTTTGAGAAACTTTTGCTGACCAGCACAAGGGAAGTCAATATCAAGATTCAAACCCAGCTGCCGAGATGAAGAGATGTATAATTCCTCATTCCACCTCCCTCTTACAAGAGTCATTTCTAACTGAATAGTTAGTGCAATATTTCAAATGACGTGACTTCGGCTCATGAATAAATATTGCTAGAGAAATACAATTGTATTTAACACCACATTTTTGTCCCACTGAATTCCCATTTCTCCCAGAATAGATAATTCATTTGGGGAATGGGGGGTTGCTTTAAAAGGCTACCACACGACTTACAAGGCCCTACTGTGTTGCTCAGTGCGATTCTAGATAAAAGTAGCAGGCGACTGAGCCTCTGCCTGTGTGGCACTCACTTCTAGCTGTCTTGCCTGCTCTTTCCCAGTGCTCATACTGACAGCCATAATTAGCCTGTAATGAATGATATTTTGCCTTGAGAGCCTTTACTATCCTTTACATTAATATAAATTACACGCAAAGTGCTTTACAGAAAATGGGCATTATCTAGCGCATATGATGAGCTTTATGGGAAAGTGAAAAACACTCTGCTAGCATGTAAGGAAGTCCCTGATGAAAATTATGGGGTGAGTCAAAAAGGTACAGGAGCCAACCTGAAAGGGCTCCCAAAGCCCTGAACTAGGAAAAAACAAACACAGAATAAGGGTCCTACTGGAGTCGAACCCAAAGAACGTGAGTCGTTTTCCTTAAGTCCAGATGAATGAAATCCAGTGACCTTATATGGTCAAACAGGGGCTGGAGCAATAGCACAGCGGGTAGGGCGTTTGCCTTGCACGCAGCCGACCTAGGTTCAATTCCCAGCATCCCATATGGTCCCCGGAGCACCGCCAGGAGTAATTCCTGAGTGCATGAACCAGGAGTAACTCCTGTGTATCGCCGGGTGTGACCCAAAAAGCAATAATAATAATAATATGGTCAAAGTCTTCCTTGCAAAAAAAAAAAAGTCTTCCTTGCAGAAAAATTCCAAACACTGACTATAGAATAATAGGGGGAAGAAGCCTCATGAGGACACCGCAGTGGTCCCTGAGCAGAGAGACACCACCGCCAATTCTCACGCGCCCTGCAGAAGCAAAGAAACATCGCTGGTGGCGGGCACCAAATGACAGGGAGCGAGGGTCAGGACTAAGGGTCCGGAGCAGGTCTTTCCCTCTCTCCTTCACCATGTGCATGGGGCAAAAGGCAACTTCCTCTGACCCAAAGCCCTTAGAAATAACATCTGCTCTTCCTGCCTTGAGAATGTCTCTTACCCCCTCAGCACCCCTTTGATCTTTTGAAGTGAATCCTTCACCACAACCCCCAAAATTTTGGTTTCGTTTTGTTTGGGGGCCACACCGGGGTGCTCCTGGACAACTTTCGGAGCGGTGTTCAGGGGTCGCTGCTAGAAGAGGCAGGGGAGCATGTGGCACCAGGGATCAAAGGCAGGTCTCCTGAGTGCAGAGCATGTGTGAAGCCAGTTAGGCCCTCACAAGGCCCCAGAATTGGTTCTACCAGACCTAGGAAGATGACAACTGAGCAAATCCTAGACAAGGAAATAATTTCTAAGACGGGGAAGCTGTGAGCCTCCTTGCAAGGTTAATACGAAAGGCTTACTTTAGACATGAAGTAACTTAGAGAGGGAAATGAGCTCCTCCAAACTGGAATACAGCGTTTCTTGTTTAAGAATTCTGGGTTTGCAGGTACGCGGGAACCTGTGACTGAGATCTCCAAGCCCACCCACATGGGGACTGGGCCTCCTCCCCCCGAGCTCCACAGTTTTCCAGTAGCTTGGCAGTCATACCCACAAACTCTCTCCCCGCCCCCCCCATGTAATCTCATCATAATCTCATCAACAACCAAGACCCAGAGACTATAAACTAAAACTCCCCGGAAGAGAGTGCTGCAGAATTTCCTGGAGCTTGAGGCCGCGCGACCTCTTATACGCTAACCCACTTACTTTCCAAAAGTAGCACACAGTTGTTTGGTTTTAACATACTTGCTTGTATTCTCTTATATTCAGGCTTAAATGGCTCCAGAATGAAATACAACAACCTTCACACATTTCCTTCTTATTGTGGTGGAAAGTTGCTCGATGGTGGGATT